AAACTGCACGTACCTGGAGCGTCAGACAGCAAACTTCCTTATCTCCTGGCTCTCCTAAACGACCATTTGCCTGGGCCAGGGAGACAGGCCAAGGGGGTGGAGCACATATTTTGCACGGTCCTGCAGTTCCCCTCACAGGAACTACCCCCAAGGGCCCAGTGCTGCACCCGGCACTCACCGCAGAGGACTTTCACAGACTCCTGTTAGGTGTGTGAAATAAACTCCTTCAGAAACACAGGGACAGACATAGCAGGACTGCACTCATTTGTGGAGTATAAAACAACATAACACGAGGCTGACACCTAAGGACAGTAGATACATGGGACAGATAAATTGCTCGATAGCTGGAAACCTGCCTCATGGGCGAAGGGGAGAAGGCAGCTGGAATAGAGAAGAGATCACTAAGAAAAAGATGGCTGGAGGAACTGGTCGGGATGGGAGATGTGTGCAGAAAGTAGATAAAGGACCAAACATGATAACCTCTCAGTGTCTGTATTGCAAACCATAATGCCCTAAAGTAGAGAGAGAGTATGGGGGAAATTGTCTGCCATGGAGGCAGGAGGAGGGTATACCGGGGATATTGGTGGCGGGGAATGTGCGCTGGTGGAGGGATGGGGGTTTGATCATTGTGTGATTGTAACCCAAACATGAAAGCTTGTAACTATCTCATGGTGAGTCAATAAAATAGAAAAAAATAAATAAACCCGTTCCACAGCTGAAACTGCTGTCACCGGTTGATTTCACAAGCTGAAGAGTTGAGGGTGCAGTTCCCCCGCTCCCTAGGCCCTCCAGATGAGCCAAAGCTGCCTCTTCAAGAGCAACAGCTTTGCGCCCGCTGGGGGACATTTCATTCATTGTCCCAAGATTATATTGTATTTTCTTACTTTGGGCCACAATTACATTTCGATCTCTGTTCTGGGCAGGAGATGCACTCACACATGTTAACCCCGGGGAGAAATAACTTGGAAGGAGGAAGACTAAAGAGGCGTTGGAGTGATGAAATAGCGGATGAGATGCTGGCCTGGGATGCAGGTGACCTGGGTTCGATTCCTCGCACCCTGTACAGTGATCTGAGTACTTCCAGGAGTAATCCTTGAGTGCAGAGCCAGCAGTTAGCCCTGAATACTGCTAGGTTGAGGCCCCCCAAATCAAAACAACACCCAGAAGACAAAAAAGACGGGGCAGGGGAAGGAAGGAGCATATGGCAGGTCAGTGGCGTGTGGGTTGATAGCACAAAGAGTCTATGGTCGCTTCCCACACCTACAAGGAGCGAATCCCAAACTCCAGAGGATGCGAGGGCTCTACTCCGGTCAACTCAGATCTGACCTTGGCTGACGCTGCTTACCTGGACACGACCTCTTGTGGCCCTGGCCAGCTGCCTGTCCATCTGATATCTTGGGCTCCCACGACTTGGCTGGATCAGCCCACCACATTCAGGAAGCCGTTTCATCACTCAGTGTGATGTCTAGACTTCAGAGCCATCAGAAGGCACAAGCGCAGAGGGCAAGGAGGGGGTCTGCCTTCACCTCCAACCGCTCTGGGTCACCAGCCTGACGTCCTGCCATGCCTCGTCCACTGAGGTTCTTACTAGACTCCAATTGGCTCATCTCGATGGATTCACCCTAGACCACTGGCAATGCCTCCCACCTGTAGTCTCTTAAACCCTCTGCATTGCGTCAGCAAGTGCTCTAATCTCAAAGTGGATCCTCCTGGCAACCCCCCCCCCCAGAGACCCAGCCATCCTGGAGTTGCCCCCTTGACAGAATTCGAGACACCTGTGATGGCCAGGTTCTGGGGTGGGGGGTCTCGGCCCTGTGCTGAGGAGCGAGTTCCCGCTCTTGGGGACAGAGTGGGGATGATGAAATCGGGCAGCAAAGCTGCCTCCTGTGACGCTGTAGACCCACTGCCCACATCAGCTGTGTGCGGAGAAGGTTCCAGAGTCCATGGGCAGGGCCAAGGAGGGAGAGCACTGAGGACCCTGGGAAAGCGCCCAGGATGATTGTGGGTGTGGGAATTCGCAGGGCTTTCTGTGCTGGGAGAGATAGTGGGGTGCTGTGTGGGAGAATCAGATTGGCCACATGGACAGTCTTTGTGGGGGGGGGGGTCTTTGTCCTGTAAGCCATGGAGGGGGGATGGTGGCAGCAAGTATGTACAGGCGACAAGATGAGCTCCAAGGTGGCCTTGGTGGTAGAGTGGCAGCGGGAGAGGGAGGTGGCAGGCTGCCCAGCACACCTAGGAGCACCAGGACCAGGGCCCGAACTAAGTGTGGGAGGATAGTGAGCATGAGCACGGGAGGGAGTGTGAAGCCCCCTGGCACAGGGTAGCCCAGGGAGACACATGAACTTTTTTTTTTCTTTTTGGGTCACACACAGCGATGCTCGGGGGTGACTCCTGGCTTTGCACTCAGGAATCACTCTTGGCGGTGCTCAGCTCAGGGGACCATATAGGATGCTGGGAATCGAACCCGGGTTGGCCATGTGTAAGCAAACGCCCTACCCGCTGTGCTATTGCTCCAGCCCTGACACATGAACTTTTGACTGAGCTGCCCCAAGCCCCTCCACCCGGGCCTTCACCCCTATCGGGCCATCCAGGCTACATGGGCTAAGCGCCTGCACTTCCGGCCCCATGGGCAGGGACGTGCTGAAGCCGAAGTCAACTGGGACCTTCCCTGCCATCTCTGTGTCCCCATTCTGCCATTTCCACCCCGCCATATCAGCTGAGAGCCTGACTGTCCCCCGGGGCTTGGCAAGGTCCTAGGGGACTGGGAGAAGGTGGTTGCTCTAAGCCAGACAGATGTTGCTGACACTCTTGGACCCTTCTCCAACCTCCCATGGGCTTTTAGTTGGGGCTGGGACCACGTGGAATCTCCGGGAATTTGGGGCCACGCCATCCATCATGTTGACAGTGCCCAAGAATTCCAACCTTGACTGGAATTTCCCTTCGCTTTGTGTTTTTTTTCTCTCTTGCAGAACATTTGTTGCTGATTTAGGCCTGTCTGGAAATTCTGTCCTTCAGACATCGTCCCTTTTCATCTCTGTGGGACTCTTCTTATGCCCTTTCTTTTCTGAGTTCCCTGAGGGCCCGCCTGCGGTTTGCTTATCAGGACAGCCATATCCCACAGGCCTAGGCTGGCAGCTTTGGACTCTCCCATCTATTCCCCATGAGGCCTCTCTGCCCAGCAGATGCTATTCAAAAGCTAAGCTCACTTAAAAAATTCCCCCCATTTTTACTGACTCCAGGGATAGAAGCGATTTTTTTTCTTTCTATTGAAAACCTCCAATAAAGGTGTGAGACCAGCTACAGGGATGGCTCAAGACTGAATCACATATGGCCTTTTCTGCAGTGGTCTGGCACTACTGGGAGAGACAGACTCCCCCATTAAGACTGAGACTTCAGGGGTCCGGAAACATCTTGAGAAGCCTGTTTTTTTTTTTGCTTTGAGTATTTTTTAAAAAATTTTTATTACTCAATGCCTCTTTTGCAAATGACAACACCCGAAAGGAGAGAAAGAACAAAAGGGAATGCCCTGCCACAGAGGCAGGGTGGGATGGGGGGATGGGGGATGGGAGGGATACTGGGATCCGTGGTGGTGGAAAATGGGCACTGGTGGAGGGATGGGTGATTGATCATTGTATAACTGAAACCCAAGCACAAAAATTTGGAAGTCTACAACTGTACCTCATGGTGTTTCACTAATAAAAATTAAATTAAAAAGTTTTATTAGTGAAACACCATGAGGTACAGCTGTAGACTTCCAAATTTTTGTGCTCGGGTTTCAGTTATACAATGATCGAGTACCCATCCCTCCACCAGTGCCCATTCTCCACCACCACTGATCCCAGTATCCCTCCCACCCATCCCCTTCCACTCTCCCCATTCCACCCTGCCTCTGTGGCAGGGCATTCCCTTTTGTTCTCTCTCTCCTTTTGGGTGCTGTGGTTTCCAAAAGAGGCACTGAGTGGCAATCATGTTCGGTCTATAGTCTACTTTCAGCATGCATCTCCCATCCTGGGAGGATTCTCCCAACACCCTTTATTTGGTGCTCCCTTTTGAGAAGCCAGTTAGTGACTGCAGCCCATCTCAAAAACCTTTGACCTACTGATTTTCCTGCCATATCACATGCAGTGGGTTAGAAACAACTTCAGATTCCACTCAAGGCTCTGGTGATGGGCATTGCGAAACAAGGCTGAATTCACTGCAGATGAGAGTCCGTCAGCTTCAATGGTGCAGAGCTAATGGGAGAGTGAACGCTTCCCATCTCAAACATAGGTTCACATGATTCAATTGTGGGAAGCATATTCTGCATCCTAATTTCAGGGTCATTCTAGAACATTCTGCAGACAAATGGACCTTTTCTGTCCCTCCCTGACAGTCATCAGCTTCTGGTCATTTGATCTGGACGTTCTTATGAAAAAGAGTCTGGTGTCAAGGTACCCATGTAGCAGGCAGTCCAGTCCAGCAAGGCTGAAGAGAACTAGCTAGACTGTGGTCAATTCAAAATCAAGCAACCATGAGTAGGAAGGACAAGGAGTAGGTCGGTCTTGTTGCAACTGGAAGGACCGAAAATCCAATCAGTCCTGGGCTAGCAGTGCAAGCATTGGGCCCAAGCACAAGCTATTGCTTCCAGGCTTCAGTTCTCGAGACCTGATGTAATTCAAGCTTCTAGTGCCCTCAGATCGCACAGAACCTTCCACAGGCTGTGGGCAACCTTCCCTGTCCAGTCAGTAAGAAACCTGAGTTCTGCTCCTGCAGCAAATAGAAACTCACTATTCAAGGTCAAGTGTAACAGACTTCTGGAAATGGGCTGGAGTCACTACTAACAGGCTTTTCAGGTCCCCAAGTTACCGGTTTCTTGATGTTCTTGAGTCAGCTGTTGTGTTCATGAGCTGTGTATGCGCAGGGCTCGTTTACTTAGCAATCCAGACTTGTGGATTTTTGAAGCGGATGTGTAGAAGTGGGTGGAAGTTCATTCATGCGATTGAAAGCCAGGGAACACAGTGTTGACTTAACTTTTTATTCATCATGGCACAAGAGAGAACTTTAAGAAACACCACTGAAAATGTCATCACCAACATGAACATTAAGAGTATCATGTTTCACACAAAAAATCAACTCTATAATACACATTCCCATGTGAAGTGGGAAGAACAAAAATCATCAACTACTGAAGCGAATTGCCACCTACCGCTCACATAGTTTTGCAGCTGAAAAGCTTCAAACATAGAGACTTAAGGAAAGTAGGAGCACTTCACCATACATGTACGATTATCAAAGAAAACACGTGATCACCCTTTTGTCACATTACAAATACAAGACTTCCCTCCCCCAAATGTGATTTATGTCACTAATGATTTCCCTCCCCCAAATGTGATTTACTTCACTAATGATTTCCCTCTTGCAAAGATGATTTAATTCATGAATAATATCCCTCCTGCAAATATGATTTACTTCACGAATGATTTCCCTCCCGCAAGTATGATTTACTTCACGAATGATTTCCCTCCCGCAAATATGATCTACTTCATGAATCACATCATACATTTGATTACTAATGATTATAGGGAAAAGGAGAGGGGATCATCTTATAGGAATTGGAATACTCTATTCAGATTCTTAAACACTTTATAATTGGATTCCAGTTTGTAGTTTTGCAAAATACATAAAAACTATCCTTTACAAATATATATTAGATATGGTGTATAGAAACTAACTTGGACCAAAAACGGGAAGGACAATTTCTTATTTGTGTTTTCTTTGTTAGGCCTTTCCCTTGGTTGATTAACTGAATCCTTTCTAAAGAGATTCCAAAAATATATTCCATCATGTATCAAATCTAAAATTTTCCTTAAAACATATTCCATATGAAAAAACATTCAGTGACAATATGTCTGTGCCTCACTGCTATATAAAAATATGGCTTCTCACAGTCCATTCAATTCTGTTCGGTTAATGCATTCACTCAGCATTGAAGGGCTGTCGTAGGTAAAAAGCTTTGGCAAAGTACAGAAACTGGCTTGTGCAAGTTCTAGGCTCTCGAGAACATTCTACAACTCTCATGAATTAGTAGAAGTGAAGTGACTGGAAAACAAAAATTGTTCTTGGGTTTTCTGTGACTAATATCATATACGAGTATCATACACAAATCTGTTACGCGATGCACAATAGTCAAAACTGAGAAGACACGGAAATACAATGAAACACTATCAACGCCAGGGCTTTATCCTGCACAGAGCCAACACGAATAGCTGCTGGGTTGGTCACTGCCATCTGCATTTACTTTTGCTTTTTTAATCCTAGGGCTGGTTATGAAGCCGAACACTATGGGTAAATGGCGGGGGTATGGGTGCGCTATATCTTTAAGTGTACTGAATTGCTCGCATGTGATCGTTTTTAAAGGTGGAAAGAAGAAAAATGAGCAAGTGTACAATTCGTTGTTCAACACCAATTGTTTCCTTTACCGAGTGGAGGAAGGCAGTTGGGGACGTGAGGGCTCAAGCTTGGGGTGCAGGCTCATACCAGCGTTTCTGGCAGGGCATCGGGGTTGTCGGTGGCCAAGAGCTCCCAGATTTGCCACCGCTCTCTCTGCCAATCAAGCCAGTTGGGCTCCCCCAAGGTCTTACTGTCGGGGTCGCTGGTGGGAGTGGAGTAGGCGCTGCTCCGTCTGGGCTGGGCTGCTTGAGGCTCTCGTTGGGTGGGCTGGCTCCCCTCTGCCCCCAACGCAGTTGGGGTACCTTCTGCCGATCTTAGGGGCCTCCACAACGGTGGCGGCATTTGGGGCTGGTGGGCCGAGGCTGACACTGGCCTGCCTGTACCAGGGTAAGGAGGAGGAGGCCGCGTAGCGGGCCTCAGACTCTCTCGGGCTCTCTGGTACAGGGGCTGGCCCGGGCCACGGCCGCGCTGCCAGGCATCATCCAGCTCGCTCTGGGCGAGGTCCTGGCACAGCTCGGGCCGAGGCAGGGCAGGATCCGGGGCTCGCCGCCGGCAGCCCTGACCCTGCGCACTACTGCACACACGGGACACGGGCGCATGCAGCCGGCACTCGGCACCAGGGGCCGATGTGTGAGTCCTCCGGGCCTGCGCGTCGCTCTCCAGTTCTCTGTGGCTCCCCTGCCACCGGGGCCGATGGGGAGGCAGGTTCCCCTGGCAAAGGGAGCCGGGCCCCGGGCGGGAGGAGCAGCTTTCCAAGATGTCTCCATGGGAACCTGGAGGGCAGAGAAAGGGTCAGTGGTGACCATGGGAATGACCCGAGGAACACCGGCTCTGGGCTTGGGGAACGTTTCCCAGGGGGAGGAGATTGGGGTACCAAGAGGGCACCCCGCGGGGGCCTCAAGCCACTACGGAGCCCTGGGTTTCATCTCACCAGCCCCCATTCCAACGTCAACAGTTGAAAATGCGCAGAGTTGTTGCTTCCTGAAGACCCCCGCACCCCCACCAAGTCACAGGATGGAAAGAGATTATTGGTAGGGGTGGTCCTGCCAATCCCCAGGGCCCACACCGGATAATCCTTTCAGTTTCCAGTCACTCAGTAGCTGCTGTAGCAGGCAACGAAAGGATGGGACTCCAAGTAGAGCAAATAATGAAGATAGCCGACTTCAGGCCTAGCCCACTCGCACCACTTCCGGCCTAGCCCACTCACACCACTTCCGGCCTAGCCCACTCGCACCCCTATGGGAAAGACCATCTCTTTAGCACCCCCTTGCCCTTTTAGACATTCCCCAGCCTTCCTTGCACTGAGGAGCACTGAGGCAGTGCTCCAAGCATGCGGCTGACAACTATGGATGGATTTGCACCCTGGGACCCCCAGGGACCTCAGAGAAAGCCCAGGGGAAAAATTACTGGAGCATGGGAGTTCAGCAAAGGATCTCAAATTGCACAGACAGCATGCTTGTAATTATCTTTCCAAATGTTTGCAGAGGAAATGGCACAAACTACTGTCAAAGATGCTGCATCTGGGTGCAAAGGGTAAGTACAGCCTTTTCTTCCCTCCACCCACCGCCAGCAATTTCCAAATCATTTTTGACAAGCGTGTAATATGGTGATAGTGATGACAAAATGAACGAAAATGAATTTTTTTTCAAGCAAATATAAGAAAATGTCTTTCAAAAACAAGAATTTACCTGTAACTACTGGGTCCTTGGGTACGTTTTTTAATGTTGAATGCCAAGTGCCCCAGATATTGAAAGGTTCCTCAGACAAATCTGGAAAAAAAAAAGTGGACAAAAATGCTCTGTGAGTCAGCGTGAAGACAGGGGGCAAAAGTCAAGAAGCAAGCATGTGTATGACATTTCATAATGCACAAAATTCTGTGTTTGAGACTGGAGCAGGTGCAAGAACAGCAGAATGGGGGATAGGAGTGATAAGAACAGTGGGTGGGGCGTTTGCCTTGGAATTGGCCAACCCGCGTTTGATCCCCAGCATCCTATATGGACCCCGAGCACCACCAGGAGTCATTCCTGAGTACAGAACCAGGAGGAACCCCTGATCATCACTAGGTGTGACCCAAAAAAGAAAAAAAAAGACAGCAGAGGAGAAGAGCAGCCCTGTCTGTTACCGGGTGAATCCTTGTTGGGTCTGTTTCTCCAGCATGGCTATATGCTGGAAAAGTTACCGACATCGCCCTGATGATGTCACCAAGGTCCCTCCAAGCAGGACATGAGACAGAAGATGCTGTCTTACTAGCTTTGAAGGTGAGGAGGCCAGGAGACAAGGGAGCAGAGGGCTTCGACAAACAGATTGTTCCCTGGAATCTCCAGGAGGCCTAAAGCCCTGGGAAGCCATCTGAAACTTCCGGTGTCCCCAGGTGGAAGACAAGAAGCCTGTATGATGTTGGCAAGCACTGTGCGTGCAGGGCGATTCCAACAGAGCAACTGGAGCAGCTCCAAGCATGCCTGTTGTTTGCTGGGGACAGACGGGGACAATCCTGCAGCTCTTCCTTCCTCAGTGGGGCCCTCAGCACCCAGAGGGGCCTTTGGCTGTCCCTGTCTACCATGCCCTCGAATCCCCAGGACAATGCTGTCAGGCGACCTCCATGACCTAATGGGCGCCTGCCTTGTTGGGTGTTTCCTCTACCTTTTCCGACCACCACCCTTCGCTCTAGAGTGCATGCAGGCATGTGGGGGGGGGGGGGGCTCTGAAAAGCACATTTCAGACCCCAAGGCTGGGCTTTTTTTATTTTATTAAATCACTGTGAGATAGTTATAAGCTTTCATGTTTGGGTTACAATCACACAATGATCAAACCCCCATCCCTCCACCAGTGCACATTCCCCACCACCAGTATCTCCGGTATACCCCCCTTTCCCACCCTCCCTCTGCCTCCACGGCAGACATGATTCCCCATGATCTCTCTCTACTTTGGGGCATTATGGTTTGTAATAAAGACCCTAAGAGGTCATCATGTTTGGTTCTTGATCTACTTTCTGCACACATCTCCCATCCCGACCTAAGGTTGGGCTTCTTATCTTTAGGCATTGCCACTGTTTGCATCTGGTTCCCGCTGGGAGATTTCACAGGATGGATCAGTTTGCTCAGTCTCAGCACCATGGACATTGGGGTCCAGCCCATTCTTGGTTGGGGGCTGCACTGAGCACTGTGGAATTTGGAGCAGCAGACCCACTCTCTGGCTTCCACTAGAGGCCAGTGGTTTTCACTCCCAAACCGTGACAGAAAAAAAAAATCTCAAGGGGGCTGAAGCAATAGTAAAGTGGGTAGGGCATTTGCCTTGCACTCGGCCAACCTGGGTTCGATTCCCAGCATCCTATATGGTCCCCTGAGCACCGCCAGGGGTAATTCGTAAGTGCAGAGCCAGGAGTAACCCCTGTGCATCGCCAGTGTGACCCAAAAAGCAAAAAAAAAATCTCAAAAAAATCTCAAGACACAGTCCCACGCACGTATGTGTGTGTGTGTGTTTGTGTGTGTGTGTGTGAAATTGAGAAGCAGGTGAGTCGTTTACCACAGGAATGAATGGTCTCTCCCTCTCAAACTCTTTGTGGGAGAAACAGGAGCCTAGGAGGGGAGAAGCCGGAGTGCACTGAGGTGGGAGGGCCTCAGATACCGAGCAGGTCATGCTCCGCTGCCGCCAGTCTCTCTTCAGCTGGGCTTTGCATGCAGAGAACACTGCCCAGAGAAAACGTGCTACTCATCTCAAAGGACAAAAGCAAGAAACTTGTTTTTCTACATCAGGGAGAGAACAGTTCCAAAGAGACGCTGCACCTGTTTCAGGGAGCACTCGAGGGAGAGGACTTTCAGAAAAAAGCAGCTCGAGTGCAGTTACTCAGCACGCATCCTGGCAAGAAGAGGGTCTCTTAAGTTTCCCATCGGGAAGATGAACTTTATGTCTGGTGGGAACACGGGAAGCTGCTTTCACTGAAAACAAAAGCAATTCTTTTGCATGTGGCTGGTCCTGCTTCGATCCCAGCACCACCCGGGGGATCCTGAGCCCATCAAGGGGCGGCCTGAACACAGAGCCAGAGGTGGCCCCCAAATTGAAAAAAAAATCACCATTATTTTGATACTGGGCTGGAGCTATAGCACAGCAGTAGGGCGTTTGCCTTGCACGCAGCCAACATGGCCAACCCGAGTTCGATTCCTCCGCCCCTCTCGGAGAGCCCAGCAAGCTGCCGAGAGTATCTCGCCCGCACGGCAGAGCCTGGCAAGCTACCCGTGATGTATTCATATGCCAAACACAGTAACAACAAAGTCTCCAATGAAGATGTTATTGGGCCCGCTCGAGCAAATCAATGAACAACGGGAGGATAGTGATAGTGACCATTATTTTGATATGGATTTTTTTAATGCTTTTTGGGTCACACCTGGTGATACTCAGGGGTTACTCCTGGCTCTGCACTCAGGTATCACTCCTGGCGGTACTCGGAGGACCATATGGGATGCTGGGAATCGAACCGGGTCAGCTGCGTGCAAGACAAACGCCCTACCCGCTGTGCTATCACCCCAGCTCCTTCTTCTTCTTCTTCTTCTTTTCTTTTTGACATGGAAATTTTTTAAAGGAAAATGAAGCCACGGGGATTAAAAAAAATAACACTCCCTTCCGAGTCCCTTCCGAGTGAGTCTTTAGAGCAAGCTGGAAATGTGAGTTGTGCAGCAGCTTGTCCTTGTCAGCTGCAGAGCATTCAGAAGCTGGACAGGGTTTAGACTTCAGCCTCCTAGCCCCACCCCCTGCCCCAGATGTTTTGGACCATGGAATCCTTGAGTGGCTGAAACACTTCATCTCCTGGGTAGACCCCTTTGGAACATGCCGTCTTGTGATGTGGGTTCGGCTTGTTCTCTTCAGGGACATGACAGCAGCCATGAGGACAGACATGCACATGCTTAGCACATGTGAGGCCCCGAGGCCCATCCCTGTCAATGCATGTACCCCCATCTCCTACTCCTGCACCATGAGGTAGAACTTGGATCATTCCCGTGCTTTATGGGGTGTGACCTTTAGGGAAATTGTCTAAAAAATTCAGCATAACAGCGGTCTTCAGAGGACATCTTAGATCTATGCCTTCAAACCCACCGGCTGGGACAGAGTTTCTCAGATGCCCACGGGAAGACTCCAAGAGGAACTGCAGTGGCCGGTAAGGAAAGCTCCCCACAGACCTGATGAGCGAGGAGTTCCTCTAGCTGGTAACAGACCTGGTGAGCGAAGAGCCCCCCTAGTTGGTGACAGGCCTGTCCCCGCGCCTGCTCCTCTTACTCCTGGAGAAGCTGCCCAGGAAGACTGGGGAGAAGCTGGTTGAATAACAGAAGTACAAAAGCAAGTAGAAGACAGTCAAAAGTGGACTCCGCTTACCTCTTCGGTGCCTCGGTCCAGGTGAGGTCTCTCTTGATTTGGACAATGGCAAATGGCCCACCAGGGAATACTGCTCCGGCCCCTTGTGAAGTTTCTCCGAGCCCCCCGGGGTCTTGTCATCCTGCAGCGCCAGCAGGGAGCGTTCGGAAAGCACAGGGGAGTTGTTGTCATAAGGGGAGAGGTCTCCGCTGGAGGCCTTGTTGGAATCAGTGGATGAATGCCTTCCTCCCACGGAAAAGGAAACTTCCGACGACACTTCCAAAGGCAGCATGTCAGGGCTTCTGGCACAAGGACACAACAGCAGCGTTAATCCTTACTGGCCCGATTCCAATCATAGGAGTGTCACACAAAGGACAGGAGAGTGTACGTATGGACACGAGGGGGTTGAAACAAGAGGACCTTCGCGTTGTGTTCTAAGACCGGGACAAGGTGAAAACATTTCCATGGAATGACCAGTAGAGGGCAGCAAAGCCCCACAGATGGAACAGGAACACGCGCGACAGGGGCGGGGTGGTGGAGATGGAGCCTAGTGTTTTTTTCCCAACGCGCATCGCTGACATGCCCGTTGGTGTAATCCCTGTTTCCGTTCTAAAACGAAAGTCTGTTGCTCGCTATGAAGCTAATGAAATAACTGGTTAAGAGTCTCTTACCCCGCACTACCGGCCCGAATTAAAAAATGATACGGATGATTGCAAACTTTACATCAAGTTCATAAAGGATTTGGCAAATAACTTTTCTCCCCCACCCAGACCCTGAATGACGTTCTGTGCTGCTCTTCCCGTCCCCAGCATCACATGGTGGCTGAAATGATCAATATCTAACCAGCACGAGTGGAGGGTTCGCTGGGCTTAATTCGAGTCAGATGATTCCAAGGCAACATCAGTGCTTTTACAAATGAAGGCGAAGACTACTAACGAGCATCTCCTTTTGGTTTTGCATGTGCACGAGTTGTCACAATAACAAGAACAGAGAAGACGTGAGGGGGGAAACAAGAAAATGGGAACGTCAGAAACACGAAGAGCCTTAGAAGTCTTACCTTGTAATATCTGTAATTTCTACCCTCCTCAAAAGTGGCCCTGACATCTTAAAGGGAAATGATCACAGAATGATTAGATGTTCCAGCCTGTCCTACTTCACAGCTCTTTCTTAACTAGTCTTTGCTTTCTTTGAAGCATTCACAGCAATTTTTTTTTTGTGACCTCAAGAAGGTAAACACAGGCCCAGCCATTCTCCTAAAGCAAATAAATAGCTTTAGGCATGCAAATGAAGGAAGGGCACATAGTGAACAAGCAGCATCTCACAGGCTCTGCCTGAAACTTGGGCAGCCCTGGCCCTCTTTACTGAAGGGATCTCTTACCCACACGAAATAAATAAGGCCTTTCTCTGCCATTTTCAATTGATGACAGATAATCTTATGGGAAAGGGCCAGAGGAGAACCATGAGGATGAATTTCCAGAAGCTTTAGATGTCGAAGGAATGAAGGGAAAAAAAAATTAAACGCGCCCACCACTTCTTCTGGGAAGTAGGGGGAAATGATTTCACCTCTAGATGTAATTCAAGCGGGAATAGCACCTGACGGCAGGGGAAGGGACACAAAATGAGAGAAACGGGCAGAGTTGGCTGTTGTCGTGAGGTCAGACTCCACTTGAGGGCCCTGCCTAGGAAAATGAGAAAACTGGCATGCTTTTAAGTGGTAATAACACGAGTTGACAACGGAGCTCAGGGTCAGGGTTCTGTGTGCCGCAGAGGGCTAGAGGCCTTGTTACCAAGCAAATTTCCACTTTGCCCAGGTTTAGTTGACTCAGTTACCAATACATCATGGTACTGCAGCAGTGAGAGCGGGCACAAGCACCCTTGGGGTCTTGCATGTTTGAAAGAGTCAAGTCGATCCATTAGCTAAAACTATCAGGACTATAAAATCCTTCCTTCTCCCCCTCCTCCTGCCCCTAAACTGGGGAGGAAGTTCTGGAAAATTCAGATTTTAGCTCACGGAGACCCCAACGATTCTGTTTCATGACTTGCTCAGCAAACAAATCCTATGGAAGAGACTGTATTCAACCAAACAATGTAAGTTGCAGAGTCAGCCAAGAATTAGGTGCATAAAAAGTTAGACCCGAGGAAAGAAATTTCATGTAACAGTCGATACTAAAGGCTTTTATAAGTGAGATGTTTTGACCCTATGGGACGCTAAGTCACATAATAAATGATGCATCTCCCTCTGCAATGACTTTTTTTTTGCTTTTGGGGTCACACCTAGCAATGCTCAGGGGTTACTCCTGGCTTTGCACTCAGGAATTACTCCTGGCAGTGCTCAGGGGACCATATGGGATGCTGGGAATCTAACTTGGGTCGGCCGTGTACAAGGCAAATGCCCTACCCACTGTGCTATTGCTCCAGCCCCTCTGCAATGACTTTTTGTTTTTGTTTCTTTTTTTTTTTTTTTTGCTTTTTGGGTCACACCAAGCGATGCACAAGGGACCATAGGGGATGCTGGGAATCGAACCCAGGTTGGCCGCGTGCAAGGCAAACGCCCTACCCGCTGTGCTATCTCTCCAGCCCTGCAATGACTTTTTAAAGCTTCCAGGGAGGCCCCACTCAGCTCGGTGTGCTGGCGCTTGTGGAATGCCTCTGCATGCTTTCCACTCCAAATTTATCCTATCTTAGCACTCTTTACACTGCTTCCCTTTCCCCAGAGTCGCAAGCGACATATCATGGCATTGTTCCACTTTCTTTATACATCTACACAAACTACTTCCATCAATTGCCTTGAGCTAATGGACAGAGTGAATTGACACCCACCTTCATCGTTGGGGGGTGGGGGAAGGGCTCGCTAAAGACAGTATGCTTCAGAGCATTTGGTTTAGATAAAGCCCAACAAAGCACACAGATAACTAAAGCTGACACCCTTTTTCCCCCTCTCTTTGCATGGCTGTAAGTGGTTCTGATCAAGTCCAGGTGGAAGGAGTTGGGGGAAGGGCCCGGATGGTCCCTTTCCTCCCTTTTTTAGAGAAGGCTGGGGAGACGGGGACCCTTCTAACATTTGACAGCATTCAATAATTTTACAATTCAGTAGTAAACTGCTAAAGCGAATGAGTTTACTTTTAGTTTGGGGGCCACACACACTGTTACTTGGGGGCAAGGGCTTAGAGGTCACAACTGGCAATGCTCAGAGGACCAAACCATGGTCGGTCAAACTCTGGAAGGCAAGCACCTTAAACCCTGCACTATCTCTCCAGCTCCTGCTAAAGAACCCATGTTTAAGAATTGCCTTTACTCATAAGAATCCACCGATTCGCCCCTCAGAATCCTTTCTACAACTGGAACTTAAACTTGGGAGTCAATCTCTTGCTTTATCATAAAGTCAATTGGAAGCAGAAACAGAAGCCCACTTCGTGTATATCTGTAAAATGAAAGAAGTAACAACCAATCTCTTCTCTCCGCTTTGCCTCTATGATGAGTCAACTGTGTAAAGAGAAATTTAAGTTCAGCCCTCAAGGCTATAAGGGAGCCATGCATGTAGGGATAGAAAATAGTGACGCTATTCAGTGGTTCCTTTGATGAGAGTTTAAAAGTACTCAATGGTCTCTTTTCTGATGTCTTAGTGATGGATGGATTAAGGTTGGGAAATGTTGGGTGGATGGGTTGCTAATCTCTCTGCATGAATGATGGGTCGTCCCATGAGACCTGAAGACCCCAGGACCATCCATAGCATGCATGATCAGTCTCATCTAGGCAAATAAGCATGAGATGGACATGGAGAGTGAATCCCAAGCTCACCATTTGCTGGTGTGTCCAGATCAGGGTGCAGCTGCGCTGGCAGGACCCTGTGAACAGGCCTGCGCTGCAGCCAGGGTAGGCACAAAAATTGTTCTGTGGATAAATGGAAAACTCTCATTCAATTACCAGATGTGCCCAGCCCGGCCTCCGGCTGAGATAACTCCGGTGAAAACCATCCTCGAAATTTCAAACTTGTCTTGGCTGTGTCTTGCCTCAGGGATTCAACTGATAAACCTCAGCCTGTTGGAACTCACAGCACATAACCATCTTAGATGCCATGAATTGGACCGGAAAAGGCAGTCACAGTGCCTCTGTCTTCAGGGAGGAAATTCATATTCCCCAAGCCCGTTTCAAAATGCAACCCCACCAAGTATCGGAGGGACAAAGGGACCCCGTGTTAATGAGATGCTGGCATGGATCCAATCTCGCCTGCAAGGCATGAAGTCAGGACTTGGGACATTAGAACTGGCTCAGGGCTTTGGAAGAATTTCTTCTCCTCAGTTTTAACCCTGATAAGTTCACTCAGATCGTTCAAACATGCTGAGGCATTTGTGATAGGGAACGCAAAAGCAGTGCTTACTCATTGTGTTCACAGGGTGTCAGCTAAAACATCTCAAATTAATACTTAGAAATGTACAGAGAAGCTGTGAGTCATCATAAAGGTGTTAGAAGAAAGGGGCAGTGTGTTCTTTTCTGTCTGTCTTGAATTGCTTTTCCATAGAATTCAGTCACTCTTCTGGGAAATTTTTATTATGGAATTCGCTAGTGGACATATACTTTCCCTCAAATTGGTTGAAAGACTTTCTTGAAATATATATATATATATATATATATATATATATATATATATATAGTTTCTGAACCACACTCTGCAGTGCTCAGGGCTTGTTCCTGGCTCTGTGCTCAGAGATCACTCCTGGAGGGGCTCAGAGAAACATCTGGAGTGCCAGGGTGACTATGTTCAAGACTAGCACCATATCCTCTGCACTATCTATCTCTCCACCCATATATGTATGTTTCTTGCTTCATCATTTCCAGAAACAGTTGAGGGCACCAGCATTCAGCAGTCAGCAGGACTCACTGCTATTACGTTGTGCCACTGAAGTCCAATTTTTTTTGTCTCTTAACATTTACTGAAAAGTTTTTGGATTTTATAAGTCCCGGTAACAGGAAAGCACAAATTAGAGTCATTCTTCTAACACTCCATGGGTCTGTGGAAGAAGGTATTTATAATGATAGTCTTGGAAGGTCCAAATAAATGAGCTCCATGATAAGGAATTGATCACTTCAATGGGAGGGCTTCAATAACCACTTCAGATCCAATGCTGCCCCATCATGCAGTAAGTACAGTTATCAGTCAACAAAGGAGTATCCTGCTTAATAAAAACAATCACCTTCGATTCCCAAATTCAATCTTTGAGAGAACTATGATCTTCATCCATGGTTCTCATTGACTAGTCACCAGTTTCACTCTCTGTGTGTGTTTGTGTGTGTCCACTTCACA